TTTTTTTTTTTTCTCAATAGAATTTTTTTTTTTTTAATAACATCAAATGACAAAACCCACTTGCGTATCGTGTACGTTCTATAAATAATTTTTTGAAAAGTGGAGCTCTCCTTTCCACATCCTCATCGCATCCGCCTCTTGATTTTAAGTTTTTGTTATTAGATCAACGTTCTCCTTTTTTTTATTTTTGTCTCGGGCTCCTGGCCCGGCCTCTCTGCGAATTCTTGGCCCCGTTGCAGCGGGTTGCTCGGTATTTTCCAGGGCTCTGGAGTTTTCTTTTTCCGTCCTCCGAATGTATTTCTCCCCGGATCGCTCTGCCTTTTTATTTCCCGCTTCGCATTCCAAGAACTGACGTCCTCTGAACCCTCTGCAGGCTGCGGTGCCGGGTGATGTGTTTTTAGTCGTATTGAATTCATGTTTGCGCGTTCATTTTTTATTTTTAGACCTGCGCCACCGGCGCCGCGCTGTGTTGGTGGATTGTGATTATATTCAGCACACTGCGTTCATTTATTAGAACACTGCGGAGGGTGTTTTTATATATCGGGGAGGTTTGAGTCCTTGATAAATAATAGATGCCGTTTGCAGAATATATTTGTTCCCCCCGAGTGTTCAAAGAATAGCCGCCGGCTGTACAAAATAAGAAACGTTTCGGGTGAATCTCCGGCCAAAAAAAAAGCTTTTGTGTGAATCTTAGGGAAGGGTTAGAACCTCGCTTGTGTTTTTTTTCTTCTCTATACAGCCGGTTGCTGCACACGTACAGCATTTTGTTTTCCTCTGCTGACGCGCGCTTGAGGAGGACACGGTAGAAATGTTACACGGCCGGTAACGGCTGTAACATCTAAGCACACTCCCATGCACCATAGAAGCAATCGGGCGGCTCTACAGCCACCCGAACGCTTAGATCAGGGGTGGCCGAACTCTGGCCCTCCAGCTGTGATGAAACTGCAAATCCCATGATGCATCTATCTCCGGGAGTCGTGGCTGTGAGAATCTTGCAATGCCTCATGGGATTTGTAGTTGCACCACAGCTGGAGGGCCGGAGTTTGGCCACCCCTGATCTAATTTTTGTGAATGGGGGGGATTTTTAAAAGGAGGGGGCTTCTAATGTGAATATGGATCTTGATGGAGGGAGCACATGCCCGCCTGCTCCCTCCCTCCCTGATCTCTGAATGTGGAAGTGATATGTATTACATCACTTCCGGTGTCACTGTGTCATTTCTCTGGCTGCTGTAGCCCGAGAAGAAGTTGTGCAATAAAGTTAAGTGTAAAAAAAAAAGAACGTTTAAAAATTAAAGTCATACTTTTTTTTTTAACAGTACAACACCTTTCAAAAATGATTTTCAAAGACACACGCGTCGGGTGCGCCTATGTGTGAAAACGACGATTGCGCCACACGTTACTTATCGTCGCGAAGTGCGAGCAATAATTGTAGAGCCATCAGTCACTGTTAACAATAAACTGATGAGCGGTAAAATTGTCACCCATGGGTGATTTTGGGTAAGGTAGTGTTTTGTTTTTGCGATATTGCGGGCTTGACATGTTTGGTGTCTATTTACCCGACGTGATTAATAATAAATGTTTCATAACATAATGAGGGAAAACTGTATTGTTTTTCTTTTCTCTTACTCCACTCCAGTATAAAAGGGGGCGCCTGATTTGAAGGGAGGAACCCCACTTTTTGAGTGCCCCCCTCCGAAGATCCACTACATTTTAGGCTGGGGTGCCTCAAGATTTTGCATACTTTTAAAGGGTGCTGTGACTGAAATAAGGTTGAGGAACGCTGTGCTAGAATAACAGGGGGCCCAACAGTGGCCGGTCACGAGGTGGTTACATTTGCCGCGTGTTTGTTCTAACTGTGGCTCCGATATATTGGAGGGCGGACGCAGCCGGTCAACTAGGTTTTAAAATACTAAAATTTTAAGATTACTTGAACATATTGAAGCTTCTGTGAGATTTCAGGTATTGGTTTTACTTTATACTTAGATTCGTGTCTCTGAAGGGAACCTGAACTGGGGTCTAGGTTGGTGTGCACCTGCAGAATATCTCTCACGGGGATTGGACTGATCTCGGCAGATGTTGGGTCTCTCGGAGGATGTGCCGAGCGATCTGCTCATTCTGGCCTAGTTCTGAAACTATGTTTTGTGTTTTTATGAGGTTTCACAACATAAAAAGGTTTACATGTTCCTCATAAAACGTTCACACGTTCCTCATTGCTGGTAAGTCGTAACGCTTCTCTGTTTAAGGTACTACTATTGCAGGGAACGTGCGGTAGTCCAAGCGCGATTTAAATTTTTTTTAATGGATTCTGCATGTTCGCGGCTATATAACCACAAACTAGCAGAATTCGCGTTTGTGTGCCGCGTGGACTTTGGCACGGAAAACTACAGGGAAAGTAAACGCTGTATGCGAATGTAGCCTTAGGTCTCGTTCA